CTTCTTCTTCTTCTTCTTCTTCTTCTTCTTCTTCTTCTTCTTCTTTTCCTCCTCTTCCTTTTCTTCTAGCTAGTCTTCTTCTTCTTTTTCTTGTTCTAACTTTCATCTTTCCCAATTTGCAGATTTGCTTTAGATGAGGAAGCTTGCATTGATGGAGTGTCCTATACTTCTGTTGCTTCCTTGTTGTTTATGAAAACTTGTTGGGTATGTATATATGTCTATATGGATATGTTGTTGAAAACTTGTTTCTGGATATGTATGTACAGATATGGATATGTTGGACTTTGTTGAACTATGTTGTTGGATATGTTGGATTTGATGAAATATGTTGTTGGCATGCTGTTATATGGTGTTGGATATGTTGGAGTTATATGTTGTTGGATATGTTGGAGTTGTATGTATGTATGTATATCTGTTATATGTTGTTTGCCAAATTAAATGGATTAAAAAAAGGGGATATATAGCCTCTTTGTCGACTGCTAGTAGACGGCAAAGAGGCCACGTGGCAACTTCCTGTACAAACTGGGAACACTGGGCTGCCTATTTGGTCACTTTACCGTCCGCCAACAAACGGCAAAGTGGCCAAAAAGGACAGGCAAACAGGGCAGCTATGCCGTCTGCCAGCGGACGGCAAAGATTCAAAGCTCTTTGTCGTCCGCTGGCAGACGGCATAGCTGGCCATGTGGCAGCTTCTCATCGCTGGCCCAACTGAGCTCTTTGTCGTCTGCCAGCGGACGACAAAGAGCTTGGCCTCTTTGCCGTCTGCTGGCGGACGACAAAGAACACGCCGTTAACCCCTAACGGCTCTCACCCCACCCCACTGCCGTCCAAAATCTTTGTCGTCAGCTTGGCTACGATGACGGACGGCACAACCCATTGTCGTCCGCTTCTATGAAGCAAACGACAAAGAAGGCCTTTGCCGACACTCGTTCGACCAGACATTTTGCCGTCCGCCATCCATGCCTTGGACGTCCGCCATGGCAGACGGCAAAGAAGTTGATTCCAGTAGTGCATTTCTGTTAAACATCTTCATTTTCTAATATTGCAATGCATTGCTCTCACATTTGTGCTTGTTTTAAAAAGACATGCCCACAAGCAGCCAGAAGTGCATCTACTTATGATCTTTCTCCCTCTAGTGTGATTGAGATTTACATGATTAAGTGAGTGATTTTCTTGTACTACAATTTGGATATGGTTCCTATATTACTAATTGCATTTTAACTACATGTTTTGTTTGCAGGCTATAGCTACTCAGCAATCTTAGTATGCATTGCCAGCTCCTCTAGCAAAAAGTTGGTCCATTGCAAACTGCAGAGATTCCCTGCCCCCTCCAAGAAACCATACTATCGCAACACTGTGTCTGAAGAGAAGGAAGAAAGTAAAAAGACAAAGGAGAAAAGAGCCCCCAAAGTTAAGAAGTGAGGGTGACAGAAGTGAGATGCAAATATAGCACATTTTGGACAGAAGCAAAGTTGGATATGTTGCTAGTTAGGACAGAAGATGGTTTGAAATGAAACCTGATGCTCGGATGTGGTCGCAGGTTTCACACAAAACCATGAAAGTGCAATGCTAGTTCCTTATGTTGGAGAGCATGAATTTTGTAAGTTTAATACCTTGTAATGTTGAACCCACCAGTCTATCTCTAAGACTACTTTTAAGTTTCATTTTGTGCAAATTTTAACTCTCTATGTTAATGTTAATTGTCTGGTCAATGCTAATAAAACAAACTGCTACAAAATTATAGGCAAACAGAAAAAAAATGTTGCCAAAATTCATTTTCGAACATACAATAACGTATGATTAAATTTCATTAGCACATACATGTCATGTACAATGGATACATAAAACAAACACTCACGTTATTCATTCTCATTTCCTACTACTACATCACTTCTTAAAAACTACATGCACCATTATTGCAACCAATACAACAAATGCATTGAAAATACTCCTATAGAGAAAAATAAGCTCATTTAATGTCAAAAGTGCTTTCCATTTTATTGCTTCATAGTCTTCTTCCTACTCTATTTCTTCACTAGCATTGACACTAGCCGAATCAACATTGCTCAGTGTGCCCATTTTTGAAGAAGACATCCTCGTAGTTGTCCGGTCTATCTTCTATGTAGTAGTGTTGGCAAAGATTTGGTTCAGCCACTTACACAAATTCACATAGGTCAGAAAACACACAGAAAATAGATCAAAATCGGGAAAAAAGGAATCTTACATGATGATTGGGGTACTTGTAGAAAACCCTCCTAGGATTTTGCGTCTGATTTTGACACAAGATGAACCGTTGACTGAATTCGGCAGCAATGGCACGTGACTAACGACAGTCTCCCCGTTGGTTGCACCATTGGAAGCGGTGCTTGCGCAACCTTCTTCCTGGGGCACTTCCTAGTAGACGAGCCAGCTAAGGCGGCCGGTATAGTGATGGAGCGGCCATGGTGAGAGAGAGAACGAGAGAGAGCGAGAGAGAGAGAGAGGACACACAGAGAGAGAGAGAGCGTGAGAGCGAGTGAGAGAGAGGACAGAGAGAGAGAGACCTAGGGACATGGTAATGAAAAGAAGAAATTCTATAAGGGCCACATTGTATAAATGCCCAATTGTTACCGTGGGAAATCTCCCGCCTGGGCCTTACAGTCGGCGTGGCTGCGGTCAAAGTGACACGCTAGTCAATGGTGATGAGAGATAATTAGAATCTGAGATGGACGACTTAAAAAGATTTATGACCCAAACGTGCATTTTCAAAGTATTTGGACCCAGTGACAATTATGTGAAAGAATTAGGACCGCTATGCATTTTAATCTTTAAGTTTTTTTTCGAGACAAACTCTTTAAGTTAACTTTTTTTGTGAGAAATTCTTAAAGTTAAGTTTTTTTTGAGGGATAGCGCTTTAAGTTAAGTTTTTTTAGATTTGACTCTGTAAGTTAACTTTTTTTTAGAATCAACTCTTTAAGTTAATCTTATTTTTTTGTTTTTGTTTTTGAGAATCAACTCTTTTATTTAAGTTAGCTCTTTAATAAGTTCAGTTAAGAAAACTCTTTAATAAGTTAAGTTTTTTTTTGTTGAGAATTTAATAAGATACTCCCTCCATTCCACAATGTAGTGCTTATAGATTTTTGTGAAAGTCAAACTTTGCCAACTTTGACCAAGTTTATAAAGAAACCTGTCTACATCTACAATACCAAACATGTACATTCTGAAAATATAACTCACGATGTATCCAATAATATGCATTTGGTATTCTTGATGTACCTACATTTCTCTATAAACATGGTCAAAGTTTGTAATGTTTGACTTTTGTAAAAATTTATAGGCACTACATTATGGAACGGAGGGAGTAAGTTTTTTAGCAGAATTTAATAAGTTAAGTTTAGTTTTTGAGACAAATTTAATAAGTTAAGTTTACTTTTTTGAGTGGTATTTAATAAGTTAAGTATGTATATAGATGTTGCTTTGCCTTGGCAACGGGCTCGTTGATAAGTCACCTGGGCCTTAGCCCAGCCCAAAGCACCAGCAGCATAAGAAAAAAAAAGAGGAAAGAAGTCGACAGCGGCGCTGTTAGGGTTTGCTCGATTTGCTCGGACCTCGGAGGCGGCGGCGAGTAGGGATTCATTCATCATGGCGTCTGTAGAGGAGTTGGAGGATGAGGAGGAGGTGGAGGGATTCGAGCCTTTCTTCTATGACAGTGAGGATTGGGATGCCTGGGCGGAGGAGGAGGTGGAGAGGCGCCGGCGGGAGGAAGAGGAGAAGGCGCGGAAGACGGAGGAGAACCGACGGAGAAGCGAGGCACACGATGCGGTCATGGACTCCATCATCGAGCACGACCCCAAGGCAGGGCGCAAGGTCTACACCCGGTTTTTTCTCAGAGACTACTCCGTCTTCGACATCGATGAGGAGTGTAAGTGGCCTCTATCTTCATCCTCAATTTCTGGCTGTTATGTATGGGAGTTGAATTACGTTACAGCAGGATGTTTCACCTGTATAATTGTCTATCAGGAGAATCCTCTGACATGCCATGTTCTCTTCATTATTGATGTATATCAGTGAACAGTGAATCCCAATCCGTTTACTAGATTGGATTCAGATGTAATACTCCCTCCGTTCGGAAATACTCGTCATTGAAATGGATGTATCTAGATGTATTTTAGTTCTAGATACATCCATTTTCATCCATTTTGATGACAAGTAATTCCGAACGGAGGGAGTATCAATTAACAACAGCAACTCACTGATTTGGCTAAAACTGAAATTTACTTTCTACAGATGGTGAGATGATAGTTTTCTCTTGAAGTTACCAGCGAATCACAATTCATTTACTTAGTTTTGATTCATATGTATCACTAAACAATATGAATCACTGATTTTGCTAAAATTGAAATTAACTTGGTTCATATGGTGAGATGATAGCTTTCTCTGGAAGTTAACTCAGCAAGTCAAATAAGAATATTAAATCGTTTAACTCAGTGGGATATAAACGGGAAAAACGCAAACTGGGCTGTTCACTATGATGAAATAATCTGATAGATTTATTATGCTTATTCATTGCAGCGTCTGTCCCTCCGATGTGATACTCCGATAGTATCTACCAAGATGAATTTGGGCTAGAAGACTCTGCAAACATCCTCTCCGTCAGCACAATCTCCTCAGATGCAGGCTTCCCAGTCGATGTCTATGGCCGTGTCATTGCCAGAGACAGCATTGACTACAAGTGCATTTATCTCTTTCACCGCAATAGAGATGACTGCCAGCGTGTCAACAAGGTACACTCCTTGCTTCTAAGTTCGTTTCAATCAGGTTTTGTTTCATCCGACGATGCATTTAGTATCAACTGTTAATAGATATCCAAATGGAGTCATCTTAGTACTGGTGGTTGTCAATCCACATAGTCATCTGCATATAAATGGAGTAGCTTTTATGGCATGCTTTCAATCCTCATTTCAAGCAGTGTTTGGATGAACATACTCTAATCTCACGTCCAATTCTTTTCATAGGATGGAATGCTGATTTTAACTGGCCCAAGCCGAGGTCTAGTGCTGGTTGATTTCATCTATCTAGAGATAGATCTTAAAATCAGGGAAGATGGAGTGTCTCCAGACAGGCCATTCAGCAAGGGTCTGATAAGCATTGATGGCCGAGTACTGTCTAGAGAGGAAGATGTCATGGTTAGAAGTGAAACCCTTGAGAGCTGGCTCAGCACTACGGAAGTGAGATTCGCAACTGTTCTTAACGCAGTCGAGTGCACCTTTGAAATCAAGCTCACTGAGGGGCATTTTAAAGGAAATATAACAGTTGGCATAGCGGATAAAGCTCGCAAGCTGAATATTGACAAAGCGATTGTGATTCATGATAGCATTTTAGATGGCGTGGTTAGAAGTGATGAAAGTGGAGTTATCAAACTCCGGCGAAGTGTCATTACTATCTGTCTGGAAGGAACGGTGGAATTTCAAATCAATAATGTGGCTGCTGGTGTTTGTGCTGAACGAACCTTTTATTTCACTCCACACCGCACTGGCGCAAATGAAGAGGAAATTACGTGTGGTGCTAGGAAGTTCGGATTTAGGGTTGTCTGGTCCTTGATGGACTTCAGGCTGTAATCTTGTGCCTTTATAAACTTAGTTCTGATGTAATGGAGTGATGTAATGATGTAGTGAACTAAGTTAATCATGATGTAGTGATATCGTCCACTAAGTTATATTTTTGTTATTAAGTAAACTGATGGATTATAAGTAATGAGTAGCGTAGTAAGTTATTATGTATTATGGTGGAATGTTATACTGAATTTGTTGGTTTAATTTTTTGGCATAATTAAAGCAGATTAGTGCACTTGGCGTTTTTTTAGACATGCATTAGGCGGAAATATGAACATATATATGTCACTTTAAGGGACTTTTCTATCATATTTATCTACGGTTTGTATTGATTGCTCATGGTCACTCCTGTGTTAGCTAAATATCCTTAAAATTAAATTATTTGGAAGATGGCTTCCATTGCATTTCGTTACTGTTATTCTGAACTAACTTCTGATGCACAACTAGGAAGATGGTTCAACTAGGAAGGCAGGAGGTACCTGCATGTTCAAGGTTCTGAACCACATGTTTGTTGAGAAGGCGTCTCCTTCCCGAATGTGGCTTCATTTTTAGATCCATGTTGCCTGTTCAAGAGACAAAAATTTGGTGGTACATAATAAATTTGAGGATCTTTACAAAGGAAACGATCTTCAAGACATCATGCCGCTGGAGGTACTTTTTCTTCCCATGTTCTCTTTTATAAATAGTGTTGGTTCTGTGCTTCTGGCATGCCTCTACATATGCATATGTGGATATGCTAATTTACAACATTTGTGCTGATTTTTCTCCTAAATCAAGTCTATTACCTAGGGCATACGTTTATTTTCCCACTAAATCAAGTATATTACCTAGTGCCTTTCCTATCACATACGTGAATGTCATTAGCCCATAGACAAACAACTGATGATTTTTACAGTATATGATTTTGCTCTTAAGTTATGCATGAGTGTAATTTCTTGTTCTAAATATGCTAGTGCGTGAAGTTGGTGGTAATGAGAAGTGCACTAGAAAATGATGGAATTACCGCAAAAAATAAGAAGGAAAATTTTGGAATTGCTGACTTGGCTACATGGATTTAGCACCATGAGAGGATAAAGGTTAGTATGTTGTGATATTTGCCACTTCAATCTGAACTTCTGAATGATTGCCATCTCTACCTCTCAAAACAGTTGGTTGCAACACTCTTGATGGCTTGGCCTAACTGGCTGTTCTGAACGCATTGATGAGCATCAAGAGGCACGCTTCTCCTTACCATAATTTATCGATTTTCTGTGAACCATTATTTAAACAGCACAAAAACAAAGGCTTATGATGTTCTTGCACACCTTGAGGGCTGTTATGAAACCAGCAGACATGTAACAATTGAAGATATCAACCACGAATAAAATTGACTTGGATCTTGTGGGCCAGTAAATAAATCTACAATCAATAATTTGGCAAGTTCATTGCACATAACATGACAATTCCTTTTTTTCAGGTGATGCTTAATTTATACAATTGGCAACTTCCGGGAAAAAAAATATGTTTGTACACACAACAATATTTTTGAAAATAATACTCATCGAAGATTTGTAAAGAATTATGCCCATGCAAATTTTATTGGAATGTCTTGAAATGCCTCATGGCAAATTGTATACAATTTCAATTTAATTATGATGGTTAGCACTTTTTGCCTCACTTTTTATAATTTAGAGCATGGTCATTATAAATTTGTGTTCCTAAGTCCTCGTTTAATAGTATTTTTAATAACATGGTAATTAAATATATTTAGCACACATTTTTTAGCTAATTGACATTTTCATAGTATTTAGTAAATGTTTGGATTGTTGTTTTGGGTTTGAATATGTCCATGATTTTTTGTTTGGCATAAATGAAGCGGGAAGGCCGCGCTGGGCTATTTTCTGGCCAATGAAATCGTTCGCTCCCCATCCCCCCGCCTAGCATTCTTGGCTGAAGACAGTTAGTTATTATGATCCTAAAATAAAGGCATCTTGTCTCAATCTATATCTCTATATATCTATATTTATCTAATAAAGCAAGGTGTGTCTCTTCGATTTTTTCATCCGTTCATCGTCGAAAAGATATTTTTTATCCGAGGTGGTCCTAAATTTTTGTCGTCTGCCATAATAGGAAAACCCGTTTGTCTAGAATTTCATATGTAGGTTGCGCGTTGTTGTAGAGCGAAACTAGCCTAGTTACTTTCCTGCCAATGCAGCTTGGAAAGCCCTTTTTGCCGCTGTATGCGGCAAATAGTATTGACTTTGCACTGGGCTCCCATGATTGGGCCGGCCCATTTCCGTTTTCTATCTCTTGTTTCTATTTTACTGTTTCTGTTCCTTTCTTTCTTTTATCCCTTCCAAGTTTATTTTTATTTTTCCTAATTTTATTAATAAAAAAATTCCAAAAAATAGAATTTCAATTTTTTAAAAGAGAGTCAAATTTAAAAAAAATTCGGATTTGAATAATAAACAAAATTTAATTTTTTTTCTTGCTCCAATTTTTTTAGAAATTCAACATAATTCCCCATTTTTCAAAAAAAAATGTTTTTCTAAAACTATTCAAGATTTTTCAAGAGGATGAACCGAGCTAGGTCTCCTTTGTTACATAAAAACGGTTGGTCCTCCTATTAAATATAAGTAAAGATTTTGTTCCGCCCATTTCGCACATAGTTCACGACATTTTTCTGTTTGTCCGCCCACTGGGCCGAATTGGGTCTACCACATATTTTCTTTTTTATCGGACAGATGAGTAACAAAAAATTTAGGCCGCGAGAGGATTGAACTATGGACCTTCCCTATTGTGCCGATCAACAAAATCAAGTTAGTTAGCTTGCAATTATGATAGAAATAACCACACCCTGAAGCTTTATACCATATACATCAGTTTTTATATGTCCTTAGGTTGTCTGGAAATAAAGAGGTTGTCTGGAAATAAGGAAGTTGTCTCAAGAATCATGAGCAGAACAAGGGACTCCATAAATTATTGCCGGTGGTAACTTACACATGCGAATAAAAGGGAGTATATGTTGGTTGGCTATAATTGAAAGAAATTGTGGGCACCTGGCAATAAAAAGGGAATATGTCTGTTTGTTTCTAACGTAAAAAATATGGGCATGTGAGCGCTAAAGTAATCAAAATAAACCCTGATAAAGAAGGGACATTCATACATAGTTATATGCGTTTATTATGTTAATGAAACAGAATTTATGCGCTGCAGTTAGTAACCCATCTGGTTACGCCATCGTAGAAGAGAGTGGTCAAAGCAACCATAGTCGTCGCGCCACCATAGGAGGAGGTGGCCACAACCCCAAGACGGAGGTAGACCCGGAGGAAGAAAAAAGGTATGATTTGGATGGTTGCCGCCACACCGACCAACCACACGAGTATCAAGATCTCACCGGCAAAACATGACGAGAGAGAAGACCGCATCTCCTAGCTCTGTCGCTGAGACCGTTTTCGGTTGACACGTCAATTATGGCTCCCGTTGTTTCTCATAAAAAAACATATCTCCCGTTACAACGTAAGGGCATATGTGCTAGTATAAAATAAAATGCCAGACATAGATACTAGTGCAAACAATCTAGTTGGTTATCCGTCAAAGATAAAAAAAGGTGTAATAATAATCAAGTTTTGCTCTCATAGCATTGAAAATTTGAATAACAATGAAATGTAATATTAAAATATTTGTAATTACAACCTTGGTTGTGACAATATATCGTCGAATATATTATTCCCTCCATACCAAAATAAGTGACTCAACTTTGTACCAACTTTAACTTTTTTCAAACTTAAAATTAAGACCGATGCTGGGATCAGCCGGCTAATTTTGGTGGAAAATAAGTCGGCTCTTCCACCGTCCGATCCACCCTGATTAGAACGCAACTAGTTATTGGATGCCAACACAAATAGAGCACTTTGCCTCGTCTTCCCTGTCGAAAGCATCACAGTTTGTTGCTTCCCTCAGTTCGCGGCATCGTCAACGCACGACCGGTGTCGCCGCAGCTGTGGCGGCGCTCTGCAGCACTGGGCGCAACACTACCGGCCTCCCGCAATGCAGCACCGATGTCGCTCCAAAACATCAGCGACTTCCTCGCAGCACCGCGGTACCCCGCAACGCGTCGGCTACTGCCTCCAAATTGCCCCACTTCAGGCTTCTCTGTCCGCTGCAAATCAAGTGTGTGCATTGTCGCCGGAAGAATTGACGCCCGCCTCGTCGGCCACTCCGCCAAGAAGTACCACGACGCCCCATCCAGCTTATAGCATTGGCAGCTGCGACGAGCACCAGCTACACCGACGAGGGTTGCACCGCGGGCGTCATTACACATCCGGCTATTAGCGGCAGCTACGCGGCTACGCCGACGAATGTTGCATCGCAGCCACATGGCATTGTTCCCCAGCTGGCTAGCAGCACCAGCCAAAGCTGCATCGCAGCACCAGCTACGCCCCCACGGCGTCGCCGTCCATCCGGCTAGCAGCGCCGATGGGTGCTGCAACCAGCAACACAACAATGGCTGAGCCGACAAGTGTTGCATCGCAGCATGGTGGCCAACAGCCATCCCGGCGATCCCCTTTCCAACAACATAGCTCGACGACGGTTGCTGCTATAAGCCATTTTTGTGCGCTTTCCCGCCGCTGAAGACAGTCAGTTATTATGGTCCTAAAATAAAGGCATCTTGTCTCAATCTATATCTCTATATATCTATATTTATCTAATAAAGCAAGGTGTGTCTCTTCGATTTTTCCATCTGTTCATCGTCGAAAAGATATTTTTTATCTAAGGTGGTACTAAATTCTTGTCATCTGCGGAAAACCGGTTTGTCTAGAATTTCATATGTAGGTTGTGCATTGTCGTAGAGCGAAACTAGCCTAGTTATTTTCCTGCCAATGCAGCTTGGAAAGCCCTATTTGCCGTTTTATGCGGCAAATACTCCTGGCTTTGCACTGGGCTCCCATGATTGGGCCGGCCCATTTCCATTTTCTATCTCTTGTTTCTATTTTACCGTTTCTGTTCCTTCCTTTCCTTTATCC